TTTTGAGGTGCAGAATCCTCCCAGGGCCACTGGACTGGTTTGTCGATATGGATGGTAACATTTTAAAGGACAATTCCAGTTTTATCACAACATTTGACTCAATCATTGTTAGGATCTTGTTAAAACAAAGTCAGATGGTTGCAAGTAACATTGGAATTTCCCCATTGTGGGACAAATAAAGGAATATCTAAGAGTGGCCACATGATCACATTGGTTTTTAACTTGCTTGAAGGAGAAAACGAAGATAAAAGGAAAAAATATTACTGAAAACATCTTTCCATTACAGTTTGTAGACCAACTTTCTGGTATATAGGTAAAAACCTTTGTTTACAATCTGTCAGATTATCTGACTAATCAGTTTCTTGCCCTCTTGCCACGTTCCCAAATATGAGCCATTACGAGCAATATTACTTCGGTAGGTATGTTATCATAACAATAGAAATGATGGTCAAACTATATAAAAAAGACTAAGATGTGAAAAACAGAGTTACTCTTTAATAAATAAAAATAATGTGTGAATCTAACCCCCCTCCCCCATCATTACAGGTTCTGTATGCCAAAGATCCAATCTGCTGACAGAGAGAGAGGAGGGAGGAGGGAGAGCAGTAGAGAAAGCAAATGCCGAAGGAGAGAAGAGGACTCTCTGAGCTCCTCACTGGCTTCAGATCAGCTGATAAGGTAAGAGCTCTGCTACTCTCTGATCTACAATTATTTTTCATTACTTTTAGATTCTCCTCATATGTAAATCCTGAACATGCTGCTTTGTTTTGCTTCACTGAATCGTAACTCTTTATCTGTTTTGTGTTCCTGTGTTTAAATTTCCTCATTTTTAAATTTTTTCTTTGCAATAGAATAGCAGTCAGTTTAATATTGTGGTCATAGGTGGCCACACCAAAGAGACAGATATCTCACAGGAGTGAGACACAGTTCCTTTACACATTGTTTGAGTATTATGTCCAGATTTGATGCTATAACACAATCTATGGGGCAGCAGAAAAAAAGTGCTATTTCTTATGTTTGATAGCCATGCATTATGTATTTGCTGGTAGACTGGTGACTCAACAAGCTCATCATTTTTCCAACATTTTTACCAAAGAAAAAAACAAACATTAGGTTTGATATCGTTCTTGCCATGACGATTATCACCTAATTATTATGTTGAACATTTTTTGTCCTCACAGCCATGTTAACTGTATTTTTGTGCAAATACTTGGCAGTCATAACAAAACAGAAGCAACTTTTAATTAATATAGCTTAAGGTGCATGTTGCATTTCTACAAAATGGCTGTGAATAATCGCAATGTCTGAAAAAATTATAATGATAAAAAAAAGCCTGCATATGAAACACACTCCAAATTCAAGCCACACAGTGACAGTTGGAGCGCAATATGGGAACTTGAGCCAAGTAGGACAAATTTGAGATTAGTTGCACCTTTGGGAATAAAAATCCCATGTAACACAGGGACAGCAGCATGTCAACAGTGCTGTGAAAATGTAGTCCTGGACTGGGTCAATAACCCTTCACTAAGATATACAGTGGTGTCCAATGTGGTGAATAATAATAATTACAATATAATTTTCATTCAAGGGACAGTCTTAATGTCTTATTTGGTCTCAAATTTAATCTGGGACCCTTTCAAAGTCCCTCTGATTTTGACTTTTAATGTCTGATTTGGACTTTCACTGGAATTTAACTTGACTTTCAATATTCTCTCTTTTTGTCAGATCAATTAGGAAATCTTGATAGCCTGAATAGCACGCACAGCATATTTTAAACTAAAGTAGGTTTTAAGCCTGCTATTGGGGATTTGTTTCCATCTATTTCTGCATGTGTAATAAATTGCCACAATGTAACATGATTTAGGCAAAAACCTTTTAGGTGGAGTGATAAAAACATAAAATGCAATTATTTCTAGCGGTTTTGCAAATGGCAGTCATCCACTGCTTCTGTCCAGTAAAGTGGACAGAGCGACAATGGATCCATTCTCAGTGTGTTGTTCTGTCGCCCATCTCTGTCCAGCACAACCCAACAACCCCCTCATCCACCCACATACCATCTCTCCCCCACACCACCCTCCATGTCTACGCCATAATACTGTAAAAGCATGTTTGTGTACGTGTGTTTTTACACCATGTGGATTCTGGTGTGTTTTACTTAATACTGTTGCAAACGTAAAGGGTCATTGTATGTTTGTGGAATTGAAAGTTGGATATTAAAACTGTCCCCAAAAAGTGACTAAATTATAATTTTCTGCTTTTAATCCAGCTGCTTTATGTTTGAAACAGGATTTGGTTCAGATAAGAGCATCATGTATCTCAAACTAATCAGATTTGTGTGAAGCTGCTTGACAATGCATTTTTCAGATATTTCATTGGGGGTTTGAAGGCCCTGTACATAAATACATTTAAATTATTCTTGCTGATTGCACTTCTGCTCAGGTTGAAGGTAGGCGGCGCGATGCTGGTATAATGTGATGTCACAGGACTACTTATAAGAGTGACAAAGGTCTGATTTGCTCAGGCCTAACAGCAGAGTGAGGGAGCAGCCAATAAAGCACAATCTGTACATGCCCACTGGATTTACCATTTTTTTTAGCTCATAGCTAATAGTAGGACAATTTTCTCAACTTATTAAAGAAGACAAGATTGTGGTTGACTGTTGGTGGGAGACAGGATGATAATCACCTTCTCTCGTGTAAAAGTTGGACACTTAGCAAATCCCCATGCTGTTTTGGGGGACTATAAAGGCCATGATATGCAAGCAAAAGTGTTCATAGCACAATCGAAGGCGGGATGAAATACCTGCCATCAGCGAGACAGAAGACAAAGTAATCATTCAAATGGGGATAACGGCACACAATCACCTGCGACCATCTGACAAGCACTTTAGTTGGAGTATACTGATGCCTTTAAATGCCTTAGCCACCAAGACCCACAGTGAATTAACTGAAGAGAACATAAGACAATAAATGTTCACTACATAGTACAGTCATCACCAATATTTGAAGGTTTTACAGGAAGAGAAAAGAGGTATTTTGATATCAAAAATACTGGACAGTTGTTTAGTATCTAACAAGAGATAAATTAACAGTTAGCACAGAGAAACA